AGCGGATACTATTTTTAAAAAAAATATTAAGTGGTATCAAAATCATCCTTTTGGAAGGTCATCCTGAATTTAAATTGAGGAAAACTGCACCAATAGTAAATTTAGAGGTATCATTTAAAATGTAAATAACTTTTAAAAATTATTTAAATTTTAATCACTTTGTAGTAAATAATTAGTAGGTGAACAAAAATATTATACACTAAACAAAGTTGAACTTCAAATCTTTGGTCTAAAAATTGCATTGCTACAGGTTAATTGCAAAGTCACATGTGTAAATTCTACAATTATGAAGCTAGTTTTTATTATTCATTTAAAAAGGGGCATAAAATGAGACGTTTTATGCCGTATGGGGTGAAGCGTAAATTTTGAAACACGAAATATAAGTTTCATGGATTTATAATGTATATCTTATATATTTTAAATTTTATAACTAAGAAAATAAGTATAGGTAAAATTTTCAATAATTATGTCGATAAATTTAAATAAATTACTAACAATATAGGGAATTATATTATAATTATTATTTGAGAAAGGTAACAATACCAAAGAATGAAAATAGTCGAGATAATCTTTAAAATGAAATTATCATTTCATTTTAATTACCAAGCTTCACATTTACTTATCTTTTCAACTCTCAGTTATATTTTGCATTGATTATTATTTATATAGTTCAAAATTGAGGGAAGGATAAAAAATATAAAAGTATTATATAGTGTATGTCTAAATGAGCTCCTCGATGTGTTTATAAGTTTGTGGCAATTATCAGCCTTTTAGGTGTTTAAACTTTTCTTTTGAGAATAACTATCATGTTTCTAATTAATGTTAGCCTAAAATGATGTGAACAAATTAATAATTTTAATTAGAGAAACAAAAAATTATTATTATTTTGACTATAATGAACCTACGTAAGATAGTTGATTTTTAAGTGTTTTTGTTTAATTTGCACCCTAATTTTAGATATTAAATTTAATATTAAAATGTTGAATCTAAAGTTATATATATTACAGCCTAACTCCTATGAAAGATCAAAATTTGAATGGAATATAGTTCAAATTCAAATCTTTAGTTGCAAAAATTAGGTTATGACCTAGCCTAAATTATGAAAGTCTTACGTTTTTATTTAAAATTTATTAGTAGGCTTCAAACTTTGGGTTCGGTTATAAAATTGACACACATCAAAGTTTAATTTAAAGAAATAATTTTATTCAACTTTTAATCTAGTTATTACAAAATAATTTACCTTTAAATATTTTTTAAATAAATCAAACATGCTTCACAACACCATCACAAGCGACTATCTGGTAGACGGGTACCATTTCCTCTTTCATTAAAATCAAATGGTTTGAGATAATATGACACTTGATCAACTTAATCCATGAGTAATAGATTGAATTCGAGATAGTTATAATATAAAGAAAACGTTTCCACATTAATAAATAATTGTTTAGAGGATCATTATTTAAAGCATCTTAAAAAATTATACAAAATCTGTTAAGGTTTAATGTTTTTTATACAAAATATGTATCCTAATAGAATTGCTTGTCTGGAAACTTTAATTTCTTCGTTATTTTTCTTCTAATATTTCCTATTAAAAACCCGAGGAAAACAGCTTATAATGGGAAAGTGTATAAATAATTGTTTTGAGGATTACTATTTAAAGCATCTAAATTTTTTTTACAAAATATGTTAAGATTTAATATTTTAAAATCAAATTCAGGCTTACAATATTAAAATAAAAAATTCAAGCATGAAGTTACATAATATCATATTTTTACGTAAAAGGGTCAAAACAACTCTTAAATTATCCGAAATAGCTTAAATATATCCTTAAACTATATTTTGGCTCAAAAATACCCTTTCCGTCAAACTATTGGATCACACTTACCCTTCTAGTTAACGAAAGTATCCATGTGTGTTGAATGCCACATGTGCAAGCCAAACAGACCCCACCTCCATATAGACGACTACGGAAAAAGGTCAAAACTACTCTTAAACTATTCGAAATAGCTTAAATATACCCTTAAATTATATTTCGACTCAAAAATACCCTTCCCGTCTAACTATTGGACTACACTTGCCCTTCTGTTAACAAAAACATCCATGTGTGTGCTAAAAGGCCACATGGACTCCACATGTGCACGCCAAACACACCCCACCTCCACATAGACGACTTAAAGTCCTAATTTCACTCTTTTCCTCATTTCATCCTGAAAAGTATATATTGAACCAAAAAATGAAAAAATATTTTGCGGAAACTTGTATACGTAACCGAATGAAGTAGATAAATTGCAATTTGATGACCATTTCAAATACAATAAAAGAAACTATTAAGGTATAATATAAATACACTCATTTTATTTAATCAATTAACACTAATTTATTATTTTAATTTCTCTTAATAGATTAATTTTGTTTAAACAAATCTTAGCGAAGCTTTCTTGTTGATTCAACTCACGACCATGGCACAAAAATAGCAGCTGCCGTAAGAGACCTAATATACTTATCACCGGAACTCCAGGCACAGGAAGACGACTATGTCGGCTTCTCTAGCAGTAGTGACCGAGCTCCGCCATATCAACATCGGTGATTTCGCTAATAAGGAAAACTTGACGAACGAATGGGATGACACCTTCAATTGCTACTACATCAACGAAGACCTAGTAAGTCTTTACATATTTCTTAATTTAATTTTTTTTTTTACCAATTACCCTATTTTTGTTCAAATTTTGAGCTTTTGCAGCCCCTAATCCAAAAGATGCTTTAAATGATTGGTAAGGAAGTTTTAGATTTTATGGAAAGTTAAAGAAACATTCAGTATAATAGATGATTTAAGGATTATATTGCAGAATTAATTTAAATTTTGTTTAAGTGTTGTGATCTCCAAAGTACAACATATTAGTATCGAAATAAAATGGAACTGAATTGAGTCAATGTATTTTGTATATTCATATAGATAGACCCGAAAAAGGAAAGGATGAAATGAAAGGAAAAAGAGTGAAATTAGGGCTTTAAGTAGTCTATGTGGAGGTGGGGTGTGTTTGACGTGCACATGTGGAGTCCATGTGACATTTTAGCATACACATGGATGTTTTTGTTAAACAGAAGGGCAAGTGTTGTCCAATAGTTAGACGGGAAGGACATTTTTAGCCGAAATATAGTTTAAGGGTATATTTAAGCTATTTCGAATAGTTTAAGGGTAGTTTTGATCATTTTCCTTAGTCATCTATGCGAAGGTGGAGTTTGTTTGGCGTGCACGTGTGGCATTCATGTGGCATTTAACACACACATGGATACTTCCGTTAACTAGAAGGGTAGGTGTGGCCCAATAGTTTGACGGGAAGGGTATTTTTGAGCCGAAATATAGTTTAAGGGTATGTTAAGCTATTTCAGATAGTTTTGCGGAAACTTGTATACGTAACCAAATGAAGTAGAGAAATTGCAATTTGATGACCATTTCAAATACAATAAAAGAAACGATCTAAGGTGTACTATAAACACACTTATTTTATTTAATCAATTAACACTAATTTATTATTTTAATTTCTCTTAATAGATTAATTTTGTTTAAACAAATCGTAGCGAAACTTTCTTGTTGATTCAACTCATGACCATGGCACAAAAATAGCAGCTACCGTAAGAGACCTAATATACTTATCACCGGAACTCCAGGCACATGAAGACGACTATGTCGGCTTCCCTGGCGGTGGTGACCGAGCTCTGCCACATCAACATCGGCGATTTCGCTAATAAGGAAAACTTGACGAATGGATGGGATGACACCTTCAATTGCTACTACATCAACGAAGACCTAGTAAGTCTTTACAGATTTCTTAATTTAATTTTTTTTTTTCCAATTACCCTATTTTTGTTCAAATTTTGAGCTTTTGTGGCCCCTAATCCAGAAGATGCTTTAAATGATTGTTAAGGAAGTTTTAAATTTTATGGAAAGTTAAAGAAACATTCAATATAATAGATGATTTAAGGATTATATAGCAGAATTAATTTGAATTTTATTTAAGTTGTGATCTCCAAAGTACAACATATTAGTATCGAAATAAAATGGAATTGAATTGAGTCAATGTATTTTGTATATTCATATAGATATACCCGAATAAGGAAAGGATGAAATGAAAGGAAAAAGAGTGAAATTAGGGCTTTAAGTCGTCTATGTGGAGGTGGGGTGTGTTTGGCGTGCACATATGGAGTCCATGTGACATTTTAGCATACACATGGATGTTTTTGTTAAACAGAAGGGCAAATATTGTCCAATAGTTAGACGGGAAGAACATTTTTAGTCGAAATATAGTTTAAGGGTATATTTAAGCTATTTAGAATAGTTTAAGGGTAGTTTTGATCCTTTTCCTTAGTCGTCTATGTGAAGGTGGGGTTTGTTTGGTGTGCACATGTGGCATTCATGTGGCATTTAACACACACATGGATACTTCCGTTAACTAGAAGGGTAGGTGTGGCCCAATAGTTTGACGGGGAGGGTATTTTTGAGCCGAAATATAGTTTAAGGGTATATTAAGCTATTTCAGATAGTTTGAGGGGTAGTTTTGACCCCTTTCCGTATCTTTTATTATGTAGGACTATTTTATTGTGCGTTTGGTTGAAGGTATTAGCCAATCTTAAAATTATTTATTTCAAAATAATTTATCTCTAAATAACTTATCTCAAAATAATTCATTTTAGAATAATTTATTTCTAACCAAATGATCCCTAAAAAGTGAGAATTGTTTATCATGCGGTTCTATCAGATATACTTGTGCATTTTTTTTTAATTTTCCATCCTATGTTTGAAGCCCACATTAGAGCCCGAACTCAAACTCAAAATATTTGATTAAGTGTGAAACACTCTCACCTGTGCATCACTTGCTGGGTCTACTTGTGCATTAATATCCTTTTGCTCCATGTTTTTTTTTTGGAATTGTTTATACTAGACGCTTCATCATTCTTTAGTGGTAAAATGAAGTGTTTAATTTCGTCTCGGCCTTAAACGAAACACAACAAAGCCACCACAGATCTCTTGGCCGAGAAATAACAGAAGAAATCCCCTTTACAACTGTAGTAGCAAAATTAGGAGGGGAAAAAGTCTGCGTGTTTGATAGGGAAAAAGGAGCTTTCCACCTTTTCCTCGGTCTCTCCGTCGCATTTTCTATTTCTCAATTTTGTCTCTTCCATATTTTTTTTAGCTGTCCAGGTTGATTGGAGGAGGAATTTGAGTGGTTTTCTTCACCGATCTCTTCTCCAAGAAATGTCAGCTATTTCGAATTTTACGGCGTGCCGGCGTTTCCAAAATGGAGCTGCATTAACAAAAGACTCACCTGGGGTTGGTTTGATTACTAACAAGTTTCTGACGACCAAGATTTCTACGCCATTTCCGAAGGTAATTTTATGAAATTTAGGAGTCTTCATTTCCCTGGTTTCACCAAATTTGGACTAATGGGTAACCGGTATATTACTGCAACCATTACTCCTTCGTTATAAACGATGTTAACATTTAAAAAGTTTCAATTTTTATGTTTTTTGGTATCTTGCTTACGTGTTTTAGCATTATTAATGAACTAGTTGAGGTCTATATAAGCTAGTTGGTGTCTTTCTTTCCTTTTGTAGCATTATTAATGAACTATGTCCCAATTCTAAACTAGTTTAGGTCTATATATGTCTGCTCTATTCGGGCCAGTGGAAGAGCATTCATAGTAGTCTGATTATATGTAGGCTGGCTGTTTCTATTTGTACATAGGAATGCGAATGCTATGTGAATACCGTGAACTTTTCCTGGTTTTAGTGTGACATCATAGAATTTGGTGGCACTGGTTTCTTGCTTAAGCTGTTGGTCCATTTCAGAGTTATTTTACTATTTGTGCTATTCTGTAGTGTTGTATGATGTTTTGTAAAAGTGACTGGAATAGTCTCAAGACTGTCAAATAATGACATGTTTATTCTATTTCTCGAGCACATGTGTGAATTCGGTGACTCTGGTTTCTTGCTCATTATATTTCTCGATCATCTGCGTGAGTGAAAGCAGCTGCCCACTCCAGTCGTGCTATTCTTCTACATAGCATAGAAGCTTTAAGTGGAAATTTCTTTTACTTCCATATTAATGACTGAGGTCATTAAGTTCGATGGTTTCTATGCTCTAGTGATAATTTTCTCGTTTTGTTTTTAGTTTTTTTGTTACTTTCTCCATTTCAAACTAAGTGGTGTTTTTACCTTTTCATTTTGTTTCAAAATAAGTAAAAATACATCTTACTTTCTAGTAATGAGTAGTTTTCTTAAGGGGCGTGCCCAAGCTAAAAACACCACTTATTTTGAAATGGAGGGAGTAATTTAGGTGATTTGAAATTTTATAAGTGATTCGATTTAAAATAATGAGCGGCTTTACGTATTCTAAAGACTGTTGTGGTTCACTTTGCTCTTCTCAGGTGTCTCTTGTTCATTCAAAAAGGATGTTTAAAGGTTCAAATATAAGAATGACAATGGTAGACGAGAGACTTTCCAGCGGGAAGGTTGTTGTGCCATCTGAAGTGCTGGTAGTGGATCTGTGCTATATCTCTTTATTATTAAGTACTTATTTTGGAAAAATTGGAGTTGACTTCTCTTATACTTTTGGTAAAATTGTTGGTCCATTAAATTTGTGACACTTACATCAGCACTTCTTCCCCTCTCCAGAAGGATTGTACACAAACATTTGATTCCATAACAGTGCTAAATTTAGTTTACGTCATCAAATTTTTTTCTGTTTGAATACAACTTTTGAAAAAGTTAATTGACATGATAAAAGAACCTTCACAAGGTACTTGAATATTAGAGAAAGTTTATCTTGGAAACTGAAGAAAGGAAGAGATAGGAAGGAAACAAGAGTGAATTTTCCCTTCTCTTGTTTGGTTGGTAGAGAGAGATTTGAGGATCATGGAGTATGGAAAGATCTTTTCCAAATTGGTGGCACAAAGTTATGTTATCTGTTTCTTCCTAATAATAGAAAGGAAGTGACGACTTTTTCTCTAATTTTCTATCGTTTTTTCTCTTCCCTTTCTCTGTTCCAAGCAAACAGTTAAGAAATGATATTCTCTTTTACTTTCAATTTACACTCTTGTTTTTCAGATGAAACAAAAATAATTACACTGTTTTAAGTTTTAATACTTCTATACAAAAGTTATTTATGATAGTTCAATGGATATCTAAAATCTGGAGGAAGGTTTATCTGTTTTCTTTCATAAACTACGTAGTATTAAAGTAGTAATTGTTATTCGCTATAAATGTAATTACTGAAGAGTGTGGCTACCAAGTTGTTTGATGTGCAACTGAATCTACTACTGATGAGATAATTTTTATATGCAGGCATATGAGCTCGTTCAAGGAGCAAAAGTAAGTTTTTTTTTTGAGTTGAAATGTAAGTAATTTATGTTTGCTATGTTTTTCCTTTTTCTCTTCCCCCCCTCTTTATCTGTGTTCGAATTTGTATTTATTTTGAAGTATGCATGTGGGATGTATCTGTTCGGACAGTATTTTACAGCTCAACAATAACCTGAGTGTTTGAGTTGGGAGGAAGTGTATAGATGGTTATATCTCATTGTTCTGGGCCACGTCAAATTATAGTAGAAAAATCTGAAAAGTATTGCTTTAATCTAGTGGATATGGAGTGCAGTCCAGTCCTAGACCTATTTTATTTTTTAGATTTTTTGTTTTTGTTTTTCCTTTTCTTTTTCTTGTCCAATACGGACTATTCAGTGAATTAGATCTCCGGTCAGGAAAAGTAGCATTTCTTTTCATGAAAAACTCTTGTTCTAGTGCTGCTACCTCTGGTTGGTGGAATATATATCTAAAATTAGACACTTAGCTATTGCGCGTCGTACACTTTTTGGTTACTGCTTTGTTAGTGAAAGGACACCTTAAATGGGTATGTTTCATGTCACACACAATAATTGTTTGAGTTCATCTGAGAAACAACTATGTGGTATATGATTTTAGTCGCATGATTTTAATCTAATAAAAGTGAACCACTATATACATATTTCAATCAATCAATAACCTTAATTACAATCTAATTGAGGTCGACTTTGTGAGTCATCTTTATACGTCCCTCACTATTCTAGCACATTTCAATTTTCATTCCAAAGTATTGGTAAATAATTTGTCTGTCTCACAGCACTGACTCTCATATCGGACAATAAGGCTCTTTTTTTTCCATCCGTAATACTCGGGCACATCTTATTCCATGATATTAGTTATAGATTGTCTCCTAGGTCTAGTTAAGAGGTTCTCTAGATCCACTCTTATCTCTAATATGCGAGCTATTGCATAGGAGCGGAGTTTTTACCCTGTGCGCACCAAAAGGGTAGCAGCTGCGGGTTTCCCTTGTCATAAAAATAAAAAAGAAAAAACTCTTATCTCTATGCAGACTCCCATATCAGACTAATGCTAAGATACTTGTACAAAGAGTGGACTAATTTGAGTGTGTCAGCAACAACAAAGGCAACAACTAAAGTTTTATCTCAATTGGCTGGTATCACCTGTATGGATCCCTTTTTTCAATTGTCTTCTCCTCTTAGCGAAGTTCGCATTGATATGCATATTTCAAATTTTAAAGTTTTTGGTGATGGGTACACATAGGAAAATGGGTTACTTTTACATTTTGGTTGTGTTAAGTTCATTGTTGTTGTCATTGTAGCTCTTATTATGCTGTCATTATCATTATTGTTTATTATTCCTAAAGTTGTTAATTCATCCTTGTCAAGCAATTTTCAAGTGTAAACTTGAAATAAAAGAAGCCCCCAAGGGCCTTGGTTCTTAGGCAAAGGTTGTACAACAAGGGATGTGGGATAGGCAATATCATAAAATTGAATCCTGTCCAGTGAACTAAGTATGGTGTTTAAGTGGACAGGGATCCCATTATCCATTGGGTTACGTAGATGAAAATATCAGAGTTAAGAAAATAAATTTATAAATTAACATACCAAATAGTTCAATGAACAACATATATTCCCCCGAGACATGACAATGGACCTCTCATTCAATTTTTAATCATCCTCCTCTTCTTTCTAGATATAACTTTAGGGAGACATCCCCTTTTTGCTGGATGTCATCATAATTATCAAAATTATGACTTCAGAAAATATTTTCGTAGTCTTAAGGAACTAAGATTCATTATTTCAACAGATAAAGTCACTCAACTCTCTAGCTTATTTACATTTTCATAAGTTCTGTACTTTCAATCATTTTTCAGTTTACAATCTATTTACTTCACTTATTCATTAATATGCTAAATAAACTAGTAGAATTGGTATTTTCTCAAGCACATTAAATGTTTTTTCTGCTGTTTAACACGTATATGCCATTGACAATGGGAACTTGGATGTATAGGTAAAATGGAGTTATATTATGGAGGGATCGTTGCCCGAACCACCGACTGCTGTTCTCTTGCATGGTATTCTTGGCAGCAGGAAAAACTGGGGTAATGACTCATTTAAAGATTTGTAACATTTCGGCACAACACACAAATGTCTTGTGTATTCACTGAATTATCATGATTCTTTCGGAGTGCCTTGTTTCTCAAATTTCTTATCCTTGTTTCTCTGAGCATATATTAACATTGCACGTGCAGATTTCGGTCAAGTCTTCTTATGTAACTAGCAATTGGAATTTTGCTTGAAATGAGAATATCCAACACCAGAATATCTTAATGAAATTATTATCATTTCCAAAACAGCAAGGAGTTGTAGAAACTGGAAACTAATCTATGTACCATCTAATTCCCTCAATTTTCCAAATGGCATGGAATAATTCTTTCCTTATCCATTCCGTACCTCTTTATGAAAATAATTACCCATTCCATATTTCCATCTGCACAGAGTAATGTTCTATGTCCTTAGTTTTCCATCTTAATGCTCTAAATAGCACAATTGTTACACCTAGTAGCAGCTGATGCTGGTAGAGTTCAATTTGTTTCAATTTTATTAGTGATTACTGATTAGGACCATCTTACCTAAACTTCGGAAACTCTTTCTTGGATAGGAAGAACTTGCTTTCATTTAGCAGAAAAATTAAGGGAGTGTTGTGGCAGAGATACTGGAAAGGACATTCCATATTTTTTTTTCTTTTCACCCGACCATGAACCAAGTTTCATGATGCATCATGCTTATTGCTCCCTGTGAATTCTCCTTTTATCTTCAAGTACAATGGGTTTACTCAAATTCTGTTTCCCCCTTTTTGTTTTGATATCTAACTGTGTTGCAAGTTCTTCTGCAAAGTACTTCAGAATCCTGATAAAGAACCTGTAGTTTGAGGAAGTTCATATTACAATAAAATGTAAAACTATTTGCTTGTGGAAAAGAACGATTTAGAAGTGTCTCTATTGCTGGAGTGCAAGGGAAATTCCACATCTTGTGGCATAGAGGTTCTTATTTCCATAGAGAATTACTAGTTAATTGCCGACTTACTATTGTTTTAGATAGTTTTCTTTTAATTTCTATTATTTTATTTTTCTTAATTCCTCCAATCTGCTTAAACAATTTTCCTTCTTCAAGTTTCTTATCGTCAACCTTTTTCCATGACAATCTCAAATTTTCAGGAAGCTTTGCTAGGAGATTGGCCCAAGAATTTCCGAAATGGCAGGTAGTAGAGATAAGCACTAATTCTTATCCCTTCTTATATACGCAGTATCTTAAAGAGTTTTGCATTATGATTAACTTGTCCCAATTGGACAGGGAGTGTGTTTTGCTGCATGTTGTTTACTGTTGGTTAATTCAATCCCATTTTCTTCTATATTTGATCTGTGAAGAATGAAGAGAAAGGAAGATTTGATCTGGAATTAGTACCCTTGAGAGATTGTCTTTTTTTATATTCATAAAGCTTGGACACATCCAAGAAGATTCTTTAATATAACCATAGATGTGGAATAAGATTATTGAATAATTTCATTCATATCTTTCTATGTCATGTCATGGCTTTATATATACATAAAAGATTGTGGAATAGAATCACCTAAATCTTTACATTAAGAGAAAGAATCAGAGATATGATATTCTAGATTATACTAAGATCTTAGAGGATCATATCTTTATATGAAGAATATCTTCTCATCTTAGAGGATCACATCTTTGATGACAAGAATATCGTCTTGGAAATCCTCTATCAGCCAACACTCCCCCTCAAGCGGGTGAATGGATATCTTCCATTCCTAGCTTGCTTATTAGATCTTGAAACATATTGTTTGGCAATCCTTTTGTTAAAACATCAGCAACCTGATCTTTTGTAGATACAAATGGCGTACAAATGAGTCCGTTATCTAATTTCTCCTTAATGAAATGTCTGTCTACCTCAATATGCTTAGTGCGATCATGTTGTACAGGATTATGAGCTATACTTATTGCTGATTTATTGTCACAATATAGCCTCATAGGTCCTTCCCATCTTATCTTCAAATCATCAAGGATTATCTTTAGCCATAACAACTCACAAACTCCCATCGCCATGGATCTAAACTCAGATTCTGCACTTGATCTAGCTACTACATTTTGTTTTTTACTCCTCCAAGTCACCAGATTTCCTCCTAAGAAGGTGCAATATCCAGAACTTGACCTTCGATCCACTAATGAACCAGCATAGTCCGCATTTGTATAAGCCTCTAAAACCATGTTTCCTCCTCTTTTGAATAATATTCCTTTTCCTGGACTTCCTTTAAGATATTGTAGAATCCGGTTGACAGCTTGAAGATGCATTTCTCTAGGATCATACATAAATTGGCTAACAACACTTACAGCAAATGCAATGTCCGGCCTTGTATGGGACAAGTAAATCAATTTCCCTACAAGCCTTTGATACAAGCCTTTATCTACCACTGAATCTTCTGGAGCATTGCACAATCTATGATTGTATTCAATTGGTGTAGCCACTGGTTTACACCCTAATTTTCCTGTTTCTTTCAACAAATCAAGCACATATTTTTGTTGGGAAATAAAGATTCCTTGTTTTGAGTGTGCCACTTCGATTCCCAAAAAATACTTTAATTTCCCAAGCTCTTTGATGTCAAATTCCTTGAGTAAACACTTCTTCAAATTTTGTATCTCCTCTGAATCATCACCTGTTACTATGATGTCATCCACATAAACCAACAATGCTGTCACTTTTCCTGTTTTTGAGTGTCGTATGAACAAGGTGTGGTCTCCTTGACTTTGTCGATACCCTAGCTTGATCATAACCTTTGTAAATCTTCCAAACCATGCACGAGGTGATTGCTTTAATCCATAGAGTGCCTTCTTCAGTCTACACACCATTCCCTTCTTGCTTTCAAAAGCAGGTGGCACCTCCATATAGATCTCCTCATCTAAGTCTCCATGTAAAAAGGCATTTTTTACATCAAATTGTTGTAGGTTCCAATTAAAAACTGCAGCCAATGATAATAAAATTCTCACTGTATTCATTTTTGCCACTGGGGCAAAAGTCTCCAAATAATCAATTCCATAGGTTTGTGTATAACCCTTTGCTACCAAACGTGCTTTATATCTTTCTATGGACCCATCTGACTTATATTTCACAGTAAACACCCATCTGCACCCGACCAACCTTTTTCCTTTTGGTAATTCCACAATATCCCAAGTTTTGTTTTTCTCCAATGCTTCCATTTCTACCTTCATAGCTTTCTCCCATTCTTTATTTCCTAATGCTTCAGACAAATTTCTGGGGATAGGAATTGTGTGGAGGTTACAGAGAAAAGCTTTATGACTTGGGGATAGATTTTGATATGTCATGGAGAGGCTCAAAGGGTGTTGTGTGCAAGTTCTGGTTCCTTTTCTGATTGCCATGGGAAGGTCAAGGACATTAGGTTGGTTAAATTCTTCTTCATGATCAGTTTGGTTTGGTGTTTCTGACGGTTCAACAAGTTCAGGATGGGTATCAGGAGCAGTAACCTGAGGAGATGATTGCAACCGAGTAGTTTGATCAGTTAGTCTCTTTCTTCTGGAATATACCTGCAATGGTAGATTATTTTCTAGAATTCCATTATCTATATTTGGATTAGGAGACTCAATGGGTTCATTTGGATTTAGAGACTCAGGTGACTGTAGCAATGGTGACTCAGGCAAGGATTTGGCACGACTAGAAATGGACAAATCAAATAGTGACAAGTCTAGAGGTTCCTTTCCCTTCAGTGACTCCCCCTGATTGTAAGAATGATTAAAAAAGGATTCACTCTCATCAAATGTGACATCTGCGGAAATAAAGAATTTCTTTGATGATGGTTGATAACACTTGTAACCTTTTTGAGTAGGAGAATATCCTATGAAAACACACTTAAGAGCACGTGGGTCTAATTTGCCTCTATTTTGAGAATGAATATGAACATAGGCAACACTTCCAAAGATTCTAGGAACCAATTTATTGGAAATTTCAAAATTTGGAAAGAAATTCCTAAGAGTATCAAGCGGACTTTGAAAGTTCAGAATTCTTGATGGCATTCTGTTACTAAGATGTGCAGCAGTTAGGACAGCTTCCCCCCAATACTGTTTTGGCACCTTTTTGTGAAACAATAATGATCTAGTAATGTCAAGTAACAGACCATTTCTTCTCTCTGCTATCCCATTTTGTTGAGGAGTATTGACACATGAAGATTCATGAATAATTCCCTCTTTTTGGAAGAAAACAGAGAGGTTTTGATTGAAGTAGTCCTTGGCATTATCAGATCGAAATCTTTTAATTGGCACATCATATTGGGTTTTGATCATATTAAAAAAGGTAGGAAGAATTTGACTGACATCTGATTTTTGCTTTAGCAAATAGATCCACGTAACTCTTGTACAATCATCAATGAATGATACAAACCATCTAGCACCAGAAATATTAGGAATGGGAGAGGGTCCCCAAATATCACTATGAATAAGAGAGAATGGAGTTTGACATCTTTTGTGACTAATTGGAAAGGAAGTACGTTTGTGTTTTGCAATTTCACAATCATCACAATGGAAAGACTCAACAATCAAATCTTTGAACAAAGATGGGAACATCCTTTTGATTACATAAAAGGAAGGGTGACCTAACCGACGATGATAAAGCCATACTTTCTCTTTATTGGACATGATAGATTCAGACAAGAATGAACTAGACAAGGAATTCTTAGATATATATTCACCATTGTGGAAATCCAAACAATAAAGACCACCTTTCTCACTAGCACGCCCAATCATCTCCTTCGTGTTCTGTTCCTGAAATAAGCAATATGAAGGGAAGAAAGTTACTTGGCATTTGGAATCTTTGGTGAGTTTCTGGATAGAAATGAGATTTGCAGATAACTTTGGGATATGAAGGACATCTTTAAGTATCAAGGATTTTCCAAGTGGTATGTCTCCTTGCCCAGCTACAGTAATAACTGAACCATCAGCTATAGTTATTTTTTTATAGCTAGGACAAGGGGAATATGATATGAAGAGATGAAAGAGACTGGTCATGTGATCAGTTGCCCCGGAATCACCACCCACGTTGGAGAAAGTTTGTCTGAGACATTAGTAATAAAAGAGTAAGAAATACCTGTGAAGGCCAATGAACAACTACCTGTTGAAGCTGAATGTTGCAAATCTCCAATTGAAACTGTAGAGTTATTCTCTACGGTTGCAGAAACATTCTCAGAGACTGGAATATTTGCGGCAGTACCATTTTCAGACATGGTTTGGGCAGATAAAGATAGCAAAATGGGATTTTTTAAAGATAGGATGAATAAAATTGGCCAGGAATAAGCCTAAAGTTCTGATACCATGTGGAATAAGATTATTGAATAATTTCATTCATATCTTTCTATGTCATGTACATGGCTTTATATATACATAAAAGATTGTGGAATAGAATCACCTAAATCTTTACATTAAGAGAAAGAATCAGAGATATGATATTCTAGATTATACTAAGATCTTAGAGGATCATATCTTTATATGAAGAATATCTTCTCATCTTAGAGGATCACATCTTTGATGACAAGAATATCGTCTTGGAAATCCTCTATCAGCCAACAATAGATTAGGCAGTTCCCAGCCTGCTCAATTAGTGGTCTATGAAAGGGAAGGAGGTTCTCAGGTTCAAATCCCTACGGAGGCAAAAAACACTATGGTGATTTGTTTCCATCAGTCTAAACCTTGGTTGACAGGGTTACCCATATCTGCGCTAGTAGAGATAGCAGGTACCCAATGGAATAGTTGAGGTGAGCGCAAGCTGGCCCGTACACCACCGTCATTAGAAAAAAACATAATCATAGATTATATAAAAACAGCCCCTGAGTGTTTTTGTTGAACAGTGGACAAGTGACCTCCTCTTATTTGTTTTTCAATTCTTTCCTATATTGAGCTGCTTACATTTTATTACTAATATGATATGTCCTAAAAAAAAATTCTTTTTGGTTGTTGGAAGACAAATATAAGCACAAATTCAATTCCAAACTTCATAGAAGTCATTAATCAACATCCTATAGAAACTCTTTTGGGAACAATTAGTTTGGAGCATAATTATGTTGGGGCAACTTTTGTTGTAGGGGTGCTGTATTGTATGTGTCTAAGCATCAAGTCCTTGCCTGAAAATAGTGCTCTCTCTCATTGATTTATTTGAACAAAAAGCTAATATTAAAACAAATAGTGAAGCTTTAGAAATTAAAACAAAAACATATGAAGCTCCCAATTTTTTTGGGGTTCTGATGTGCTTTATCACCCTCCTGAGAGATGCAACTAGAAACAGATTGTGATGTATTGAACTGTTCTATGTGAGCTTGTTTGAGTTATCCTGAATATTTTTCATTAACTCTTGGAAGCTACTATTAATTGCGGTCACATCATTCTTGAACCTATCTTTTCTCCTCTTTGTGGGGATGTCATTTTGAATTCATTTGTTTTTGACGCCTTTCGCCAGTTGTAGTCCTCAAACTTACGTTCTTCTTTAACTGATTGTCGATATCTTATGGTTAACTTGTTTTGATACGATATTTGGGTGATTTGTTGCGGACAGTCTTACAGTAGATTTACTTTTCTGCAGTTTCTCCTGGTGGACTTGCGGTGCCATGGTGATTCAGCATCTCTCAAGAAGAGAGGCACACATACAGTTGCATCAGCTGCTCTTGATGTCCTAAAGCTGGTATAGTTTCTTAACCATGACCTGTTGCACTCTGCACGTACAATGCTTTCTTGAGTGCCATTTATATGGCATCCGTATCACTAAGCTTTTTGTGGGGCAGGCATGGAATTTTTTTACAGACATTAGCAGTCAGTCCTTGACTGTGCTTCTATTTGATTCGTTGAAGTTTGGAAGAGCATGACCAATTGCATTATTCTCAAAAATCAGAATACGCTAATATTTTTCTTTTGATATTGATAAAAATAGTCTTTCTGCAAGTAGATATGGGTTTTGCATGCACACTTGTGCATGTTTACATGTGTCATGTGGAAACATTAGCTATTGTCCTGTCATCCTAGAGGCCTCTATGATTGATGTTGTTCCTTCCGTTATTGTTGAACTTTTTTGCCCTCATAGTTGACTTGGAATTCTAATTCTTTCAGTTATATATCCATTTCCTACTTCATCCCTTTTTTTTTGTGGGATCAGTTCTCTACTTTGTCAAGTAGACAACATTCATTATTATTGGGTTCTCCCTTTACTTTCCCAACTGCTTTCAAATTTTCAAAGAGGGGACTAGCTTCATCTTCAAACCCATGAAAGTGAAGCTTTCTTCACCCATCTAAAGGCATCACATCTACTGGTGATTTTACAATGACTTGCATGGCTTTTTCATCGTCATTACAATGCGGTAATGAAGTGTCAACCGTAGTGTTGACTGAATGAATCTTGGTTGATCATCGAATGATGTTCTGATTCCCATGAATTTTCACTACATGTGTTGTTTGGACTGAATCACAAAATTTTTGAGTGTTAGTAACCTCTGTGCTCCCCTTGGCTTGATTGGTCTAGGCAATTGACCTGTGCAACCTAGGTGAGAGGCCAAGATATGCGCATCATGTGATTATTTCCACATCAGCTAGCACCTCACCATTTCTTTTTGATAAGGTAAATAATTTTATCAATATTGGGAAATCCCCGCATACAAGAAGTATATCAAGAGGCAGAGAAACCTACACTAAAATATGGTTCTCTACAAAAGTCACCCACTCATCTAAACAAACAAGAACCTATTTGTGCAACAAAAGAAACTAGAGACAAGAAGCTGCTCTTCACATGTACAAATCACCCCAACCCCTTCGAGAGCTCTCCTCTCCCTCTCCCTCTCCCTCCGCACAACTCATATACGTCTCTGATAAATGTCCCGGCCAACTATCTTTTGGCCCATTTGTAAATTTGCTCTAAGATGCTGCATTTTATATGCAGGATTATATCTTTGACGTGATAAGGCTAGTTTAATTTGAATCAAATATGGGTCCCGCGGACCTATCCAAGATGTCCACTCTATGTGCTCGACATATGTGGTCCTTCCCTCTGTGTTTGTGTTACATTGTCGGTGACTTACAGTTTCCTGTGATCATCTTTTTTTCACCCATGTTGTAGATTCAACCTGAATCAATTTTGTTTACCCTCTTATGCTAAGAAACAAAAAAAGGGCTTGGCATACCAACTATTAGTCGAGGCACTTATAAAAGAATACTTCAATTGAGGCACTTGCAGACTGCAGTACTTGATCACCGTATTTATGAATAATCGGGGAGGATTTCCAATTGATTTTATAACTTATACTTATTGAAACTATTAAGTATCTTTGGATGCAAGAGCAAGCGCACTTGCTTGTCCTTTTCTTATTTGTCCGTTTTCTTTTACCAACTTATGCTAATGGTTGATTCCATATCACTGAATCATTGGCCAACGTTATCCATGGAAACCTATAGTCCTATACACTCTCAATATTTGTAAAAGAAAAAAGCTTACGTGCTGGTAAAATTTTACTTTATCCTGCAATACAGGGGCAATAGATGTGATGATATACCATTTCAGTTCAGTGATGTGTCACTTATGATTCTCTTGTTTTTCTGATTTTGGGTTGGGTCAAATGGTTCCCCATTTTGCCTCTTCACTTCTTGCCTGAGATGTTAACACTATTATGGTAACACATTGCTTGGGCTCAATCTTTGTTTCTTCTGTGTCTAGCTTGGCCAGCTCAGACTGACTCCCCGAGTTGTAGTTGGTCACAGCTTTGGAGGAAAAGGTAACTTTTAGCTTATTACAGTGGAAAGCTACTTGGTGAAATCAATTGATATTTTGTTGTTCAGACATTGATCTTTCTTATTACTATGCAGTTGCATTGAGCATGGTTGAGCAGGTTCCAAAGCCCCTTGCACGGCCAGTTAGAGTAAGTATTCTGTATGAAGACTGTAAACGATGCTTGCAGTAATATCAAACACAGTTTTGGATATAGATTGGAACTTGTGAGTGGTTAAAGCAATGTTAAGAACTCAGTCAAGGCAGTTTATACTATTTGCTTCACAGTTCTCTCATTTTAAATTGGTGATATCGGTAATTGGTCTTTACGCATAAGTATCCCGTAATAAAATTCTACAAGCATACCTGAGGTAATATCAAACACTGTTTCAATATAGCTTAAACTCGTGAGTGGTTAAAACTTAAAAGTAATGTTAAAAACTCAGTTAAGGCAATATACCATTTGCCTTCCAGTTCTCTCATTTACATATGATGATTGGTTTTCAGGGATGATAATTTTCTTTTCTGATGCACTTTCTTTGGTCTTGCAATCTATTTTGCCATCCTTTGTTTTGTTTTTTTTCTTTCCACTCCAAATTCTTAGAAGTAATTCAAACTAATTGGGTCATAGGTCTGGGTTCTAGATGCTACTCCAGGAGAGGTTCGAGCTGGTGCAGATGGAGATGATCATCCAGCTGAATTGATATCATTTCTGAGTAAATTACCAAAAGAGGTGAGCCCTTCTGGTGATTTCAGTTTGTATAAAAATGTCTCCATGCATATTGCTTTACATGAACCTTAACAAACTTTATTCTCTCTTATTGTCAACCCTCCATGATATCTTTAGTGTGTCAATATAGATACTTGTTCCTTTTAGGACATTTGAGAAGAAATTGGGGTGGGATGTACAGTGGGCCTCTTAGTATGTTCATTCTCTGATGTGTTTAAAAGAGCAAAATAGGATTGCATTCTGGAGATAGAATGCGTCATGTTTTTATTTTTTTTGTGTGTACTTCTGGAGTCATAGGACATCACTTGTATAAATATTTGACCAAAATTGTGGATGGCTGCTCCTACATATAGAGTTGAGATTTGCTTAATTCTTGTAAACAATAGCTATCTCCCTCTTTGGTAATAAATGTTTCACCTGTCCAAAAAGAATTCGCGAGAACTACTTTAGGTTTAAGGTATGATTGATATTTAATGTAATATGCTTACAACGACAAAGTAGTTTTTCGTGGGAAAAGCTTGTCCATTAGTTTGGAAGTAGAAGCTGAATGTGTCACTGTGTCAGAGCAATGGAGAACAAGCCTTTATCCTTCATATTTTACGTTGCTTCTTGACTAATTCTTCTGTTCTTGCATGTTGATATTGTTTGGCACTACTCTTGGTTTATAACTTGAAATAGCTTACAGTGTTGTTTTGAAACTTTAGGCTAGGCTATACAATTCACTCACTCAAATGTTGTTTATCCTTCTCATCTCTCTCTCATTCTCTCTTTGTTTTTTTACTGATATATTCACATAATTTGTATTGACATCAATTCTTCTTATGAATAATATTTTTCAAGGAAGGTCTCTTCAAAACGAGATATTGTGGAGGCTCTTATACAAGAAGGTTTTTCCAGGGATGTTGCACAGGTATCCCCTGGCCTCGCATATTTTTCTTTCTAGGAATTCTGAAAGGTTTAACACTTAAACTTCAACTTTGCAAACTTAAATTGCTGTATAAGCTAAGGCATTTTTCTGCATCTAGTGAGGCACTGAGCTTGATATTGAGTAACTGAGGAATGAGATCTCTGAAGTTCGTTAGAAACATTATGAATGTACTTCTTTAAGTTGTTGTAATGTGTTCCACTCTTATCAGTGCACGGAGAGTGAGCCAGTATATATCTCTTGACTACTGTGAAAGAAAAAGAGAACGATGATTTAGTAGGCCTACCAGATGATAAGTTGTCCAAAACAAAAACGGAAAAGAACCGTACCACAATAGTGACACTCCCCAGTCTCTCTTAGTATATTGTAATGGACCTATAGCCTTAGTATGAAAGGCAGGAGAATACCCTATCTCAAATGCCTCTGACATGTCTACCTGGGTCCTGAAAAAGAAACTAACAGCCACTTATTCCTACACTGTAGGGTTACTGTCCAGGTGTGGCGCATGATTCTCAGCATTTCTCAAGAGCCCTGGGTGATGCCAGAACATACTGCTGATCTTCTGAGTTGCTGGATGAGGAGGGGGGGGGGGGGGGAGCAAGACCCAAAAAAGATGGTGGTCTATAGTACCTACTTGTGTCTGGTGGGCTATTTGGAGAGAAAGAAACCTTAGGTGTCATGAGAATGTTACTAACTCTATTCAGAAAGTTAAAGAAAATTGCATTATCATGTTGTTTTTTTGGTGTAAAGAAGATGGTATAGAAGAAGTAGAACAGTTGGTAGATTTCCTAGGATCTATGTAATTATGGTTTTAGATTGTAACTTTTTGGAGGTAGCCAACATACCCTTAATGCTGAAGAATACAACTTTAACTTTATCAAAAAAAAGATATATGTGATATGCCCACTGGAAACAATTGCCATATTTGGGGAGAAACTTCTAATTTTACAATATCTTAAGCCCCATAGTCAACTCTAACCAATATAAGTCCTTTATAGTAGCAATCAATCTCTTCCACCTTTCCTTTCTAAATAGAGCTTATAGAAAAACATTGGTAGTCTTGCTTTTCCATATGATTTGGAAATGGTGTTCTTGAATTTTGTTGGTCAGAATAAGAGACACAATATTTCACTCTCCACCATTCAAAATTTAAACTGTCTTTACTCAAGGCTGGATTCAAAATTTAGGGCCCACTGGTTCAGAATTCTTGTGCGCCTATTATTCCTGTAATGCAGCATGTAATTGTTTGTAAAATAAATTTAGTAAAGGAGTATATCATGCAGTATATCTGACTAAAAGTTCATCTATAAAGGCCATCATTCCATCGAACATTGTTCATTACCATATTTCTAACTGTTAATTTGCTTGCGCATGAGACACGAGTTGGCCCAGTTCTCATTTTTTTCCAACTGACATCTGACGTTTCCTTTGTAAATTTTGCAGTGGGTGGTAACTAACCTTCGTCAAACCAACACTGCTGGTTCATCTCCTTCACCTTTGTCATGGGTGTTTGATCTCAAGGGTATTGCTGAAATGTATCAATCATATGAAGAAACAAATCTGTGGTAGGTTGCTCATGTCAGTTTGAAGTAGCAGATTTTTGTATGATCATTCTTTTGTCTTCTTGTTCATTCCTTAACTGTTACAAGTGTGTACCAGTTGCCCAATACTGGCGTAGTCTGGACATGTACTAATAGTGGTTCAACAAATCACAAACATGCACACCCTCTTTATCTTGTTGCTATAAATAAATCAAAAGATTTTAAGAAGAAATCATGGAAATGTTGACAAGTTGCAGGATATTTTTTGACAAGATTAACTTTCAACATTAATATAAGAATAGCAAGACGATCAGGAATTTTTCTTCTACGGGCAATGTACGGGGGGACTGGTCGCTCAGCTCAATACCTAACACAGCTATAGAAAAAAAAACTAAAAGGAAAGTGGAATATCTGGTATTACTGGAGCCTAAAATGTATTACGTATTGACATGCTAAGAATAAATGTGCACTGTAATAACTTATTTTATTCATATGATAATGAATGTGTGGCTTTTGCAAGGACTAAATTGAAGTTGGTTATTAAATACTTAAATTGTAGGTGAGTGTATCAATGGTTTATTTCATATCTTTTTTGTGTTTTGTCACCAAGCTTCTGGTGGATCAAATCCATGGCTCATTCCCCAAAAAAGGAGGAAATACTAATTGCAAGATCTTCTTGCAGGAAAATTGTGGAAGATGTTCCTCGGGGCGTGCATGTTAACTTTTTGAAAGCAGAAAGAAGTCTGCATAGATGGGCCCTTGAGGATATTAGAAGAATCCATGTTGCTGAGGAACAGGCTGTAGAGGAAGGAGGTGGAGTCGAAATGCATGTCCTCGAAGATGCAGGTCATTGGGTAGGTTGCTTCTTTCATACACATTTCTTTCTTCTGTATATATATATTTTGTAAGTTCTCTAGATGCAAAGTGTTTATTTTAAAATGTGCATCAGAGTTGGAAGCTGGTAATTTATCATTCTTCCTCCCTTTCAAATTATGTACTGTAGTTTGACTACGATTGGAGTTTAAGAAAGAAAGAAAGATAAAGACTTTTGGAACTTGTGTCTTGAACATGTCATGATGTTTCTCTGGCTATAATTGGAGTTTAAGAAAGAAAGAAAGATAAAGACTTTTGGAACTTGTGTCTTGAACATGTCATGATGTTTCTCTGGCTATAAAAGCATGTCATTTAGGGTAAAATGAAAAGTTAAAAGTTTAAACTGTCTCCAATTATAGAAATGTGTCATTCTTCTTTGTATGGACTAAAAAGGAAATAATGCCACATTAAGTGGAATGGAGGGGGTACCTAGGTTGACTCGAGTTCTTAAAATACCCGATGAATTGTGTCTCGGGGACTGATTGCCTCATCATTCCTTCTAGTGTTGGACTATCTACCCTCTTCTCCCAAACTGATGATACAAAGAATAGCTAACCTGGTTGAATCTGAAAAAAACTACTTTTCAGTGTTATCTGTAGTTATTATTAGATAACGTGATTAATATTGATATCATAGTCTGCATCTTTTGCTTCCCATTATACGTCTTTGAACTATGTCAAGCAAAGCTTCTAGGAAGACAATTATAATTCTGACAGACAACAATGAACTTAGGGTACATTTTATTTGCTGTTTACATAAATTGCACAATTATGCATCACTTGATCCTTATCCTAATGACAAGTATGTATCTTTTTTCCAGGTACATGCTGATAACCCAGATGGGCTATTCAAGATCCTTTCATTTTCCTTCCAAGGATTTTAGGCTCAAGGAATTCTGGCATTGGTCATATGACCTGGAATATCGGTTGTGAACCCCTTGCAACCTATAGATTGCAGAAAGATCCAATTTTTTTTGTAGTATAGTGTATATCATCTCATTCATTGTGATTTGCTTGTTCTAGAATGTGATGTGCAGAAATTAGATTGGTGAGGCTATTTCACCTTCAAAGCTGAGTACACGATACAGAATTGTGCAAAGAACTTCTTTACCAGTTCTGTCCTGTTGGGTCATTAAACACCAGCTTTACTGGGTAATTTCCCCTCTAAATGTAAAGAGAATTTATCCTCTTCAAATGAATATGATTCTACCAATTCATACATCAAATGGCAATCTGGAAACTAGGCACCACCAGTACCTATTGCAAATCATTTGCCTGACTTGGATAGAGGGGCATCTAGTAGCTGTTTCCTCTGAAGGGGTGAAAGACTAATCGAACCATCTAATAGCTGGCACCCTCTGAAGTTTCCCTCAAGATAAATGGAGCTTGCGTGTGAGTTCTATCAGGTAAAGCAAATGATTAGAGGCCTTGAGGGTGCAACACCCTCGACCTATTCTCAAACTTTAAATAGGTAGGACTGTGTCACTGCACATATCCTTGAACAAAGTAAAAACTCGGGGGTTCCAACAAGCTACTGCTACAGCCTACAATCATTGCTTTTCATTGAAATATATTATGTGAATGAAATAATTACCTGTGCATATTTATTGAAATCAGAATCACTCATGAATGTGATTGAAGTGATAGAACTCTTTGGCTTTTAAAGAATAGAGAAATAAACTTCCCAATTTTTTTCCCATCGAAAAACCAAACCCAAGCATTCTTAAACAAGCCAAGTACAACTTTTTATTGTGCCGAATGTTTGTTGTATCTTGTGAACTCTTACAATGATATCCACAGAATCTTAACTAAAGAAAAAACATAACCACGCTAAAATTAAAGTAATTACTCGACCTACTACCTTCAATCCTGCTGAACCGGAACAGGCCCCATATGTCTCCGAGGAGAAGCAGATGGATGCTGAGGAGAGGATGAACCAGAAACAGGCCGTCTCCGAGGAGATGACGACTCAGAGGAAGGCTGTCGTGGAGGAGAGAATGTCTCAGGAATAGGCTGCATCCGAGGAGGAGAGGATGACTCGAGAAGAGGCCTTCCGGTGCCAATGAGGGAAGTTTTCCGGGCACTTTGGTTTGAAAGTAACAGCCGAAACGTCCATTGGAGAACATTTGGTGTGAATACTCTATAGAGAAGGAAAATGTCGTACCAACTCGGATATTTCACGTATGGATCTCCTCGGCATGCCCCTGATACAATCAACTTCGCAAAGTCCTCCACTGAACTTCCAGATGCATGAACCTTGAATGAAAATGCAAGCAACAACTTTAATTGCACGGAGATAAAATATTACCAAGAGTTCCAACAAAACCAGAAATTAAAGGTTACTGGAATCCATGATAAATGAGAAAGACAAATGTAGGCAATCTTGCCCGATTCTTAACAGTATTAACCCTCTGTACAGTTAAGTTCTCAGTTCAATCATGTTCCTATCAGTTCATTCTAATTTAATACTTAGGACCAACTACAAGAAATTGTGCAACAATGGTCAATACAGCCGGTTAAACTTCAATATCAATATCTTCATTCTGTCAATACTAGTACACAATCTTGGGCAAGTAACACAATTTTTGCTCGGAATAGAGAGACTTACTTCTCTTTCTTCCTTCCACTGCATCTCAGCACCTTCCTCTAGCATGAATCTTCCACCTGTCATTTCAGTCCCAATCCATCCGTGTGTCGCTATTGTGACCCCTACGTCACCGTTCAGCTCGAATCTCAAGGTCTCATAAAAATTTACAAGTGCTGCTTTCGCTGCCTATATTATAAGACGACACACATATTATCATCTCTCGAAGGAAAAATACAACAAAAGAACCACGTGGGGACAAATGAAATAGGGGGCTGACGAAGAAATATTGAGTAATTCAATTCTCAAACTGGACGAATTCCATTTAAAGGAATAGATAGCAACGGTCAGAATTACTAACTGCATATAAGCTCATCCTTGGCAAGGGCAACCAACTCTCTACTGAAGCATTCACTATGACTCGGCCTCTGCTTTGTCGCAGGTAAGGTAGTGCAACATAGGTAGGATACACATTTCCCCAAAAATTGATATCCTGAAATGGACAATATTCAGACATTTACAAATTTGAAAGGTTTTGGGAGTAAAATGCAAGTGTTGTACCCCTGCAACAAGATACTTAGAGAAAAATCATTCTACCAATACATTAGCGTCAAAGCTAAATATGAATAATTGTGGATGGTCCTGAGTAAAAGCTCCACATACCATCAAAATGGGGAAGACATTTGTATCTGTGGCTTCTTCTAGGTAGAAGGTATGACCCAAACTTGCTGTATTTACAAGATGATCCACTGAAAATAGGGAAATGAACGGAGATTGTCGTCAGAATAAAATTCAGACAACCTTTTGGTTACGAGGTGTTATTCTCCGAGATTTAAACATACCAAGCTATACACGCTACTATATCCATCCCAATTTAAGTCTTATTTTGCTTTATAAATATCAATTGACCAATGCAATCAGAAACAAATTCATCCGTCTCTAGAACATAACTTGGAGTCTGAAACTACATAACAAGTTATGTAAGTTGCAACTTTTTGTTTCTTCAAAATAGTTGTAACATTTTGTTGTGTTTCCTAGACAAATAGTTGTATTTGCTTAATGAGAAATGAAATAGGACGTAATATCTCTAGATAGAAGTAGTACTCAGTAACATCAATGTCACTGTAAAACTCGACGCTAGAAAGTTCAAGAAAACATTCTTAACTAGAATGGACAACTACCTTGCCAAATGGGACTTAAATTATCTCTGCTTTAAAAAAATGACTGTTTGATGAAACTTACCTATGCTATAGTCTGTTCAAACTAAATCATGAAAAGGAAATAACAGAGAATATCATTTCACTAACAGTGAGAGGTTTGACTAAAGCATATGTAGGTACTCGGGCCACATTATATATATTCTTGGTATTTTTGATTACTCAAAAGGTTACATTTTCACATTTTGGTTTGACACATTGCAAGCGGAAAGCTTACGCTTGGTTGGTTGAATTCCTCAAAATCCCAGTGTCCACACTGCTTTCTCATTTCAATGAGAGAAGGTGTGTTAAACTTCATACTTAACACTATTTACAACATAAAATTGGAGATACAACAAGTGGATCCAGCAAATTGCTTACCACGCCCGTATAAGTTTACGGTCTCAGTGATGAATCTCCTACAATCAGCTTCCTTTACAACATCTGCAGCTGTTATGAGAACACTTTTTGCACCTAATGCCCTGGCATTCTCGCTAATTCCCCAGAGTCTGGTTTCTCTTCGTGCAACCAGAACTAGATGAGCTTTCTTCTTTGCATATTCATATGCAATTTGCTAATATTACAGAGTAAAACCAAGTATTTGTCACTTGTTCAATACTTTTCATGCACAAACAAGAACAACAAAAAAACAAATAGCAAGTTTGGGCTTCTTTAATTTCAATTACTAAATTCGTTTTTGTAACTCCAAAAACTCAAATTCCACAAAAAACTTAAGAATAGTTCTATCCATTGCATGCTAGGAATTTCTCCTCTAGAAAGAAATGAGTGTTGCCCAAAATATAAGAAAAAACCAAATTTTCATCGAAATCAAGTAAATCAAAAATTGAATCAGCCTATCTTGATAGTTAATACCATAATAACAAATACAGACATTCAATTTTCAAGTTCCAAAAACTGATCCATACCAATTATTTGGGGTTTTTGAGATTTTCACTCACAAAATTCTAAGTTTTTTCCGAGTAAAAATGCATGCCCAAACACAACTTCAAGGTACAAAAACTCAAACTTTCAATTTTCAAATTTCAACTTCAAAATCTATGGCCAAATCGGAGCTGAGTCTAATTAAGCTATAGCTCATTTTTTTTACCTCTCCAATACCAGAAGAAGCTCCAGTGATGATGACGATTTTGTCCTCCATGTCTTCACCAAAGAAAGAGTTGTACATCCTCTCACAAGTGTTGATGAAATACAAAGCAGGCCATGAAAAGGCTAACATAACCAAACTTGCTGGTGGCACCACAAAATTCAGCACTGAATTCACCAAATCCATCATTTTTTTTATGATCAGTTCAACAAGAAGATGAGAAAAAAAATGAGAAGAAGAGAACAGAGGGCTGTTATAATTTGTTGTTGATTTTTGGGGATATGTTTAGAGTAGATAGAGTTGAGTATTAACAACAACATGCATGAAGTTGAACACGTGCTTTAAGGATTTGGTGACGAATGGAAGGGACTTGTTTTTGGAAGTTAATGCATGAGATCACAACAGTCATTATCTGTTTTGAGTTATATCTTCTCACTTCAAACTGCTAGCTGGAAAAGCCCGTACTTTTTTTTTTATTTCTTTTTTGCTCAAATATTATATCTGCATTAATAAATTTGTTTGATATATTTATATTTCAAAGCATAGTCAATAAAATAAAATTTTAAGTAAAAAAAAGAGTTAAAAATGCCTCTTATATAAAAAACCACAAGGCAAAAGGAAATTAGCAAAGACATAAATTTAGTTAAAGTTATTATCCTGAACATAAGTTTAGTGATATTGCGTTTCAAATATAAGTTTAGTAATACAAATTATACTCAAGACAAGAAATTATGTCCAAAACACAAGTTATGTTCAAGATATAAGTGAATAACGCATGTTATATACCTAAACATAAAAGAAATTAAGCTTAAGGCACAAGTTATGCCCAAACAGAAGTTTAGTGGCCTAAGTTATGTTAAATTTAGTAACACAAATTATACAACAAAACATAGGTCAATGTCCAAGGCATAACTTCAGTAATAAAAATTATATTTTAAGACAAAAGTTCTCTAAAATGCTCACCCTCCAAATAATTTTTTTTTGCTTGAGGCAAAACATTTCCTAAAAGATTTTGCTTGAGAAATTAGTTGTGACCAATGAATTTAGGTCATAATAATTAAAAGTACTTTATCTTATAAATTTTTATGAAATAAACAATAAAAACAAAAATTAAATATCATAAATTTAAAAAGCAAAAATTAAATAACACTCTAAAATAAGGACTTTCATGCAAAAACTTGATTCTAGGACGATCCGAATATGTGGGTCAACTGATTTTTGGCAAAAATTTAATAGTATTACATAAATAATTTTATTTAAAGATTCAACTAATCTTTTGTTGGCGTATTAATAAGAACAATTTTCACATATATTAAACATAAAAATCATATTTGTATGTTA